ATATTTGCTACACATGTAAATCCATCTTTTCGCGTAGCAAATTTAACAATTTAACTCGCCTTTACTACAACAGTAAAGTTGTTGCAAATGTTCAGCTTTTCTTTACATTTGCTATGGTATGTGAACATTGAGTAAATGCCGTATTTACCATCTTTCCTTTGCGTGCAAATATAATGCAATCAAAAAAAATTACATCTCAGCAAAGATGAACAAAGTCGATCAAATGTATTTACTTCTTAGTTATAACACTTTTGCTTCAGGACTGCGGTGTTAATTTACCGATGATGAAGGAGCATGATTTCAATCTAGGAGGAATACATTTTTAGCCATTAAAAAAAAAATTCATTCTGTTTTCAATATTAATCAGTGCTCTTCACAAATACACTATTGAGGTCTCAAACAAAGAGTATAGTCGGTAATACTTTTAAAAGATGCGTTCTAAGAGCGAAATTTGACGTGTGCCACAAAATCATGTGCGTGTTCTGTCTACTGCCCGTTCGTACCTGGCAAACTAAATGAAACCAAGCGAGCATGATATTTGTGATTTCTTAATGTTGCATCTAACTCGTGATTGCTGATGCATCTTACATACGTACAAACATCAGTTTTGCCGATCTTGAGTCAAGTACGTAAACATGTATGCATGTGATTAAAAAACAACCAGTCTGCTCATCACTGCTCAAACGTCGGGCTTTACGAAAAATCGTATACTATAATTGGTTTCTTAATTTCTTTGATGATCATTGGACTCTGCTGCTGTCTCAAGTTCGTATCAGATGCAGAGCTGTTATTTGCTTCTAATAAGAAAAATGTTGAAGCTCGATGTGTGCAAGAATAGTTCTCACTCGCGGCTTGTAAATGGTTTGCACTCAAACGAAAAATCTCATACAAAATCGGATTCTTAAGGAATTACTCATTCCATAGACCAAACAGGAAGGAGGCTAAGTATGTACCCATGTAGTTGCGTTTAACTCACTGAGAGTGTACCATAGCTACATAGAGTCCATGAAGTAAAGCGTTCGACCTGCGTGCGAGTGTAGTGATTGCACTTCGGTCGGACACTCGAGACTTTTTCTTTATCTTACGCCTGCGTCATCGAAACTGAATGAGAACAGTTCTGAATAGTTGCAAATTAAACATACCGTGTACTTGTAGAAAAGCTTCCTTCTTCTTAAGAAGCGAAACCGCAATCAAGCCTTGTTTGCCAAACACTAGATNAGTCAGCTATTCTTCAAACCCCAGAGTATCTCAGCAGGGCAACTATGAGGTTACCCATGAACCTCCGAGTAAGATGGTATGAATACATAGATGGACGCAGTGATAGATCCACCCTGGTAGAGTTTGAGAAGTGGTTACGCATCCGAGTAGAAACACTGTTTAACCCCCTTGAAGATTTCATACGCGAAGAATGGAACAAGAAACAAAGGTACCCCAAAGCAAAGCCAAATCTTAAGTTCAATTCTCTCGCCACGACGACAGGAAGGTCTCCTGACGCCCCAAGCAACAGCAGTGACTTGTCAGATTCCAAACTAGCCCAAACCCAATCCTTGAACAAAGAGCAGGAGAAAGCCCCATCCAATGAAAAGGGGTGTGTCATCTGCAAGTACAAACACCCTGTTGCCTTTGGTCTTGTCTTTAAGTCTAAGCACCTACAAGAAAGGCGAAAAATTGCAAGAAAACATGGACTTTGTCTCAATTGTTTGAAAATGAACCACAAAGTCAAGAATTGCCTGAGTACAAAGCGTTGTCTTAAAGAACGGTGCGGGCGTTCCCACCACACCCTTTTACATGAGGATCTTCGAGTAGAGTCGCGTCCTAGCCTCACCAGCAACGAAAGTAGCTTTATCCAAACATCGGGTTCTCCAAAGGAAAATGCTCGTAACCCAGAACCGGTGTCAAATTTGTTGCCCATCGTCTAGACCATGGGCAACAATCTGTTTTCAACCTCAGCGGAAGGTCATCCTTCAAGTGCTCCCAGTTCGAATTCATAGTCAAGGGAACACGGTTGACACATATGGTGTCCTTGATCCTGGAAGTGACTCAACCCTTATTAGGAAAGACTTAGCTAAGAGCTTACAACTTGTTGGCGATACATATCGCCTTAACATTAATACAGTTGGCAATGAAGCTGCTACTCAGAATTTAGAAAGGGTAAGCTTTAGTCTTTCCTCTAAAGAACAGCCAGACCCGGTTATGGTGCACGGAGCTTGGGTCATCAAAAAACTCAACATTCCATCTTTCAAGTTG